AGGAAGAGGCATCAGCGGATGACGAGGCATAGCAGCAAGAGACCAGATGGAGGAGGAGGAGGAGGAAGAGGAGGAGGAGAAGGAGGAGGGGGAACAGGAGCGGGATCAGGATGAGGAGGACAAGTTTGAGGGAATAGCTGCAGCAGCAGGGATGGGAACGAGAGACATAGAAGAAGAAAACACGCCATAACCACAAACTAGTTGCGCTCCGAGCGGATTTCTTGGATCTGCGCTCGACCCCCCTCCCTGGCGCGCGGAGCGCGCCAAGGGCGGCGCGGGAAACGCTTCCGGGGGGGCCCAGCGCATATCCAAGAAATCCGCGCCGAGCGCCAAAAGTTTACGTTAATAGAGTTTTACGGTGACCGCGCCGCAGCGCTCCCATTGCCGAATGAGCCTCTGCCACTCCCGCGCGCCCCCCCCCGCTGCCGCGCGACCTCGCCACGGACGCCTCCCCCCCCCTCTCATGTCCAAGGCCGCTCGACCGGCCCTGGGACAGTTTCGCCCGCGACCCTCGATGGGGGGCGGGGGGGGCGAGCGTGCTCGGTAAGTTTTCATAGGTACCTATCAACTACATTGGCAGAAGTGCCGAGGCATTGTTTAACAGTTGACACAGTTCCAACCTATATATAGATATGTACAAATATAACTACACATACACATACACATATACACAAATATGTAAACATATATATATATATACATATATATGTGTATATATATATATAAGTATGTACAGCTTCGGTGCATATATAAAACCCTGTGCGGGCGATAATGATCCCCTGGGGGAAAATAAAGTTCGGGGGTCTGGCGGGGATACTAAACGATTTTCCCGGGGAAGGTGAAGTTATAATGATGATGATGACGATGATCATGATGATGGTGAGCCCTGTCACACGCTCGTGATTGCGGAAGCTGATATGATGAGACCACCATGGCCATGCTCAGCGTTGTTGATGCGATTGCTAGTCAACATGAGATGATAGCAACTTCGATTCGCAACTCTCCCATTAGATAATCAAGTTCGGCCTCCGCGCCACTATCCACAATTAAATCCTGTTGGACGGGGATTATAAAGATAGAGGGGGTGAAGGGGGGGGTACTTTATTATCGCCCGCACGGGGCTATATACATATAGATACGATTCTACTATATTAGATCAGGTCTCTCTCTTTCTCTCATTCTCTCTCTCTCTCTCTATATATATATACAGAGAGAAAGGAGAGGTGGCTCAGGCCCGCTCCTCGGGGCGGACGAACAGAGGGGGGGGGGATGGCGAGGCGGAATTTTGGCGAGCCAGCAGCATCCAACCAGTGCTATCCCGGCGCCTTCTGGTGCCAGAGGCGGCAGATCTGTCGAGGAAAGCGCCCGGCGGCGGGGCCGAGACGAGCTCCACCCAGCAGCCATCCGACATCTTCCTGCTGGTCGCAGCGATGCGGGGCACGACGCGATCGGACAAGGACGGGACGCGGACAAATTCACTGCGCACCTGCGCGGCAAGAACAAAAATGGGGCACCATCCGAGGGGACCACAGCGGACAGGGACCGCCTGAGCGCCGGCGACGGAACGCCAGGGATCCAGAGAGGGTACGGAACAGAGTGGATGGCGGACTCCGATCGGAAGGCCGCCTGTGGCCAAAAGGGCGCTGCCGACCAGGCGTCATCCGCGCGAAACGCTCCTCCTCCTCCTCCCCCTCCTCCTACTCCTCCTCCTCCTCCTCCGGGCTGCTTTCTGGGGCCCGTTGCCAGGCCCCCATCAGACTGTACCCAGGGGAGAGCTTCTCGCTCTCGTCGCGACTGTGGAGGCCACAGACCAGGATCTCGTTTTTCTCACCGACAATGAAGCATGCTATCTCAATTTCCATCACGGCAAAGTCCAGGAACCCACAGGCAGTGACGCCGACTTATGGTTGAGAATGAAGAAGGCGGCGGCACAACGGACAGGGTCGGTCACGGTTATCTGGATACCTTCTCATGCGGAACCACAGGATATCATTCAAGGGAGGATTGCCTCGTCTTTGGCGGTGGGCAATTGTGTTGCAGACACTCTAGCTGGAATTGCAGCCAGTGAAGCGCGTGTTTCACCTGAACACCGCCAGCGGGTTGCGCTGGCCGAGCAAAAAGCTTTTTCAGGTTCGCATGAGGTTGTTACGGACTGCGCTCGACACTCTCGAGGCCCAGAAGCGTGAGTTTCAGTGTCAGAGGGAGCAACGCCCTAAGAGGCAGGTAGCGTCTAAGACCGACCGACCGCCTGCCCCTCGTTCTTGCGCGCTCTTTGGGTCCCAACACTCTGTTGATCCCACAGGCTCTCACTGTACTAGGTGTTGTAGTTCCTCCAGCAAGGCTTCGAGGTCTCGTTGGCTCCTTTCGGAATGTTTTGAGCTTCTTAATGTAGACGGCACTTATAAGGAGGCCCCTCATGGGAAGTCGGTCCATGTCGCGGGGGGGTTTGTTCACAGCAGCCACCGTTCTCGGTTCCACGCTGGGCTGAATTTGTGGTTCTGTGTCAGGTGTGGGGCTTATGCCCAGCAGGTTCTCGGGAAACTCGGGGAACCTTGCGATAAGCCCACCCCCACGGGGCAGGAATACCTCAAGCGTATTTCCAAGGGGCTCTGGCCGAAGGCCCTCAGTCGAGCTGAGAAGGCCACCAGAGCTCACAACACCCCAGCTGGGGTGGCGGAAGTCTAATTTCTCATATCGCTACGCGATCAGGCAGAGACTCCAGAGACTCCTCCTCCTCCGGGCGTCATCCGGGCGCAGCGCGGCCTTCCCGCAAGGGCGGAGGACGCAAATGGACAGCCACGGCAACGCAGCAGCGCAGGTGGCAGCAGCGGACACAGCAGCGGCAAGGAAGCCGGCGGAGAACAAGCGGAGCGCGAAGCGAGTCGGCGGGCTACTACTGCTTGATCCAGCCACTCCCAAGGCCCCATTCCTGCTGCCATGGCGGCGCGAAGCGGTACCGAAAGGGGGATCACGAACAATACCAGGCAGCACCCAAGGACTTCCGCTCACCCGAGGACGCCCCACCGTGCCACATAGCACCGCATGTTGATTCGTCCGCTTCGGCTGCGGCGGTCCACATTCAGATGTCCTGCCAGCTCGTGACTGCATGCATGCACACATGCTCACATGCACAAAAGACGGAAGAACCATCGCAGTGATGCCCGACATGAAGTGCTTCCGCGTCTCCCCGGCCGCGTCCACGAGCCGGTTTGCCACGTCCGTGGCCGCCTGGGGTCAAAAATACCATACACGGTAGGCCGGCACAACGACACGATGAGAAGCGCACAGTGCAAGACTCAATCTCAAGACGCGCAGCGCACCGCACGCGGCAGAAGGCACGAGACGAGACGCACGGCGCACGCGACGCGGAGAACGCAGCTTACGCGTCGCAGAGCACGACGCGTGCATCATGAGATAATGGTTAATCACGCACGGCTCACTTCACACCCAGAGCACTGATCATCCAGGCCCGTCCCGCACCTGTCTGGAACCTCTCTCTCCTGATCTGCGGGCGCCCATCTCCACGGCCAGCGTCCTGGATCTCTCGGAGGGACAGACTTTGAATGAATGGTCGGATACCCCACGTTGCCACATCAATCTTTCAGTGTTTCCTCGTGCTCCTGCAGCTCATTTCCTTCTCCATTCCTATCCACATGTCGAGATTATTCGGATCTGGACTAACCTGAAACAACAACAATAAGCGCTAGCATGCCGCGCAATGCGTTGGACCTGAGACAAACCTCCTGCGCGTTTGACTCACAGAGACGCTCCGAGATCACAGAATGGCGGACTGGACTTCCCGGGGAACCGACGTACCTCGACCGAGAAATGTTCAAAACTGTCCTCGACGCTGACGTCTTTCTGCTACCGAGGGCAAGCCTTGCGGCCGGACTCGGTCAAAGGTGCTCCCTGAGCTTCGCATTGCGTGCGCTGGGGTTTACGATGGTGCCCAGACCACGGAGCGCGACTCAGCCAGAAATAAACAAGCAACAACTGCATCAACATAAACTTTTGGCGCTCCGCGCGGGTTTCTTGGATCTGCGCCGGACCCCGGGAGCGCGCCGGGAGCGGCGCCAGAGGCGCCGCCAGGCGGGCCCAGCGGAGATCCAAGAAGTCCACGCGGAGCGCCGAAAGTCCATGTTTATGGCGTCGTTTCTTTTTCTGACTACCTACCAGACCACCCCAACCCAACCCGAAGACCCGAATTTGACCCGAATTTCGGGTTGGGGGGGTACGGATTCCACGCGTGTTTTTTCGATGTTCCCCGACCCCCCCCCACTGGAAACCGAGGATAAATTTGGGCCTTCGGGTTGGGTTGGGGTGGTTTGGTGGGTGGTGATTTTCGAAGAAAAGCCGCCAAACTTCGCCCCACGCCAGGGTGCCCAAGGCACTCTCGCCCGCCGTCCACGGCCTCGCCCCTCTGCACCTACTCCCCAAGAGCACGGGCGAGGGAGGAGTCGGGGGGGCTCCTTCCCGAAACCCCTGCGGCTTCCGCGGATTTCACACGGGTCCCCGCTGGCGAAGCCGACCTCGCTTTCGTTCCGCCGCCTTCCGTCTGCCTTCCGCCGGGGAAAAGAGATGTGTCCGCCTGGCGACTCCTCGGAGACGAAGCCCTTTTCGTGAGGGCCCCGGATGGATGGATGAGCAGATTCGGACTTGGAGCCCGAACGCCTCTGGAGTCTTCGGGGTGCGGCTGACGTAGATGTTGTACTTCAGGGCGTCAAACGCGCGCTGAAGGGCCGGGCGATTGCGCCCCCCTCCCCCCCCTTCAGGGGCTCCAGCGGCAGCCAAGGGCCTTCTTTTGAGAAGAGCGGTGAACAGCGGACTGGAGAGGTGAAGGGACATGGGGAGCACGAGGCCACGGGTTGGGCGTCAACCTGCGATGCTGAAACCGACTGGGGAACACAAGCGACGGCGCAACAATCGGCTGTGGTGTGCCCTCGCTAAGGCTCGAACTGCAGCCCACATCCTCGCTGTCGGACCATGTCGGGTACACGCAACAGTGACACTGGGTAAGAGTGGCCTCTGGTGCGCGGCTTTTTGGGGGCCGCGGGGGACCCGCACACAGGTGCGCAACACGCTATCGCGTTCGGCGATCGGGGAACCCCAATGGGTCCGCACCAAACATCATTCCCGCGAAGGGTCACTCTTACGGGTGGTCGACCATTGCCATTGGTCGTTCGTTCCTGCGGACCCAACTGGCGCAAACTTTCAGGAGCTCGCAACCTGGGCTTTCGTTGATGGAGGTAAACGGTTAAGATAATATTTTGGGGCAAACGATTCAAAAAAGTGTCGCCGGCCCCGTGGCCCTTATTATAGCGAGCCAAGGGGCTCGGCCCACGGGATGAGGACACTTCGGGTTGGCCATCGGCCTGTCTGGAAGGCCAAGGGAGTGCCCGAGGGCTGACAATATGGAGCGGCGGGGGTGTCGATTCGGACTGGTCAGGTGGGGCAACGTCGCGGGCTGACGACCGCGGCGGCGATGCCGTAGTCGTCGCCGCCGCCGCCGCCGCCGTCGTCGTCGTCGTCGTCGTCGTCGTCGTCGTCGTCGTCGTCGTCGTCGTCGTCGTCGTCGTCGTCGTCGTCGTCGTCGTCGTCGTCGCCGTTGCCGTCACCGTCGTCGTGGTCGTACGACGACGACGACGCCGACGCCGACGCCGATGCCGACGATGACGCCGACGGTGACGCCGACGCCGACGCCGACACCGACACCGACGCCAACGCCGACGACGACGACGGCGACGACGACGATTACGACGACGACGACGACGACGACGACGACGACGACGACGACGACGACGACGACGTGGCCGCCGCCGGTTTCTCCTGCGCACCTCCCAACTCTCTCCTCCTCCTCCTCCTCCTCCTCCTCCTCCTCCTCCTCCTCCTCCTCCTCCTCCTCCTCCTCCACCACCCCCCCCTCCTCCTGCTCCTCCACAGCTGCACACTGAATACTACTCTTCCCTCCCCCACAAGACCCAGGTGTCGTAACCGCGTACTGTTCCCAACCATCCTGTGGTGTTGGGTCCTGATTTTGAATTGACAGCGCCCGACGTCCCACCTCCTCTCCTTCTCCTCCCCCTCCGCGTCCGCCCCACCAATTTTGGCGCACCCCTTACACGGTTCGTGACCCCAGAAGGAGCTCCCCCTAAGGCTCCACTGGCGACGTTCCCATGCGTCCCCGCCACCCATTCTGGCACACCCCTCACACGGTTCGTGGCCCCAACGGAGCTCCACCGAAGGCTCCAGTGGCGATGTTCCTATGCGTCCCTGCCACCGCTGTCGGCACAACCCTCACACGCTTGGTGGCACCATAGGGAACTCCACCTAAGGCTCCACCGGCGACGTTCCCATGCGTCCCCGCCACCCATTTTGGCACACCCCTCACACGGTTCGTGGCCCCATGGGGAGCTCCACCTAAGGCCCCAGTGGCGATGTTCCCATGCGTCCCCGCCACCGCTTTCGGCACACCCCTCACACGGTTCGTGACCCCAGAAGGAACTCCACCAAACGTTGCAGTGGCGACATTCCCATGCGTCCTCGCCACTCATTTTGGCATACCCCTCACACGCTTCGTGGCACCATAGGGAGCACCACCTAAGGCTCCACCGGCGACGTTCCCATGCGTCCCCGCCACCCATTTTGGCTCACCCCTCATACGGCTCGTGGCCCCATAGGGAGTTCCACCTACGGCCCCAGTGGCGACGTTCCCATGCGTCCCCGTCGCCCATTTTGGCTCACCCCTCATACGGCTCGTGGCCCCACAGGGACCTCCGCCTAAGGCCCCAGCGGCGACGTTCCCATGCGTCCCCGCCGCCCATTCTGGCACACCCCTCGCACGGTGCATGGGAGCTCCACCTAAGGCCCCAGTGGCGACGTGCCCATACGTCCCTGCCACCCATTTTGGCACACCCCTCACATGGTTCGTGGCACCTATCGGGAGCTCCACCGCAGGCCCCAGTGGTGACGTTCCCATGCGTCCCCGCCACCCATTTTGGCACACCCCTCACAAGGTTCGTGGCCCCATAGGGAGCTCCACCTCAGGCCCCAGCGGTGACGTTCCCATGCGTCCGCGACACCCATTTTCGGCGCGCCCCCCGCGCGGTTCGTGGCCCCGTAGGGGGCTCCACCTCATGCCCCAGCGGCGACGTTGCCATGCGTCCGCGCCACCCATTTTCGGAGCGCCTACCGCACGGTTCGTGGCCCCACAGGGAGCGCCGCCGAAGACGAGATCCACAATCGCGGTACTCACCTCTGCGCACGGTTGGATCCTTCGCCTGGATATTAAGTGTGAGTCCTCTAACACAAAAGCAAAGGGTCCCCCAAAAGTGATCGCTCATATGTATTTTGCCCAATCCGATCGATTTCGGTGTTTCCCGAGTGGTGCTCCCGCTGCAGCGTTGTCACCATTTTCTGGCCCTCCCGCCTACCAAATCCTAGTTTCGTTGCAGCGCTGACCTCATCCTTGTGTTGCGGATTTCCCAAAGCGCCCCGCTACAACGTTTACTCTCATAGAGTACTTCCACGATTCCCGAAAAGTTAATAAAACTGTCTCGTCTTGCGTCATATCTATTTTCGCTGTGAACATGCTGCGCCTCCTGTGCTCTTCTACGCCGCGCTACGCCGTGCACTTGCATGCACCTCGCACCCTCTCGGGATCATTGCCCGGCTCGACATCTGACTGTGCGAATAGAAACGAGATCTACGCCATAGTAAGGGGTGGGAGGGTGGGGTAGGACGTGAGATAAACCGCTCACGCTCCTAGCTTGTCCTCCTCCTCATCCTCCTCCTCCTCCTTTGCCTTGCCCCCGCCTGTCTCCCGCCTCCTCCCCCTGCTCCCACTACTTTTACAAAGGAACCAAAATGGATCCGATGGATTCCTCGATGCGGCTGCATGGCGTGAGTGGGGGACCGCGGGGAAGTCGATTACCGAATCAATGCCCACGCGACACCAAACAAATCTGGGGGGGGGGGGGGAACGATGACAAAAAACTTCGGCCACATCGTTTATATTCGCTTCCCTCGCAGAATAGTAAAGCGGCCTCTGGGGAAAGGGGTGTTTTCTTACTCGTTGACCCTAATTGATCGCCACCGTGCCCCCATCGCGTGGCAAATGCTGACTGGGAGGACTTTTTCTCTGCAGTGGATTCCTGGGCGGCCATTCTGGGGACCCCCGAGGCTTTCAAAGACAGCTCAGGCAGGCCACCACGGCCGCCAAGATGGCCCAACCTTCTCTCAGGACGCACCCAAGAGTCCTGCATCAATCCAACAGTACCCAAGACACCCAACAGGCGTTTGCCGGGATGCCCTCGAGAAGACAAGATATGGATCCCTATGTTTTTGTTAAACGCATGTCGCTGTCCAAACTCTTCTGTCCACGATCGGTGCCCACTGAGGCCCCAAGAAGGACCCTCGACGGCCCAGGCGGGCCCCAAACCAGCTCTAGCTAGACCAACAGGGCCTCTGGAGGAAACAGAAACGACCTAATGGGGGCCCCAACAAGGCGTAAGACTACCCCAATATGGCCCCATAGCAGCCCCAAACGCCCCACACACACACACACACACACACACACACACACACACACACACACACACACACACACACACACACACACACACACACACACACACACACACACGGCTGAGAGAACTCCCCACGACCCAAGACGGCCCCGAGGGACCCCCAAGACTGCCGAACAGGCCCACGACAGCCACAACACGGCCCCAAGAGGCCCATGGTTGCAGCCCGGCCAACTGGAGCCAATCGGCGCGCGGCACAGAAACAGGGTCTCGGCACCTAGACCTCCAACGTAGTGAAACATTCCTGGGCGCGGAGATCCTCGTGTGTGCATCCCATAACTCCTGCTACGCTTCGCTGGAGAACTCTGTCTGTGAGCATCTGGGTGTGAGAGCGAGCCCGCGTAGACGACAGGCGCGACCACGACGATAAGAAAGACTGGGGGGGGCAGAATCAGGCAAACCGCCTGAGACATCCCCACCCTCTGGGCGCGAACGGGCGAGTGTCACACTCCCTGGCGGCTCCCCCTTGGGGCGCCCAAGTGCCACTCTTGCAACACCGCGGTGGGCAGTGGCCCACCAAAAGAAAACAGTCAGGGGGACAGAAACAGGCAGACCGCCGGAGACATCCCCACAATCTGGGCGCGAACGGGCGAGCGTCATACTCCCTGGCGGCTCCCCCCTTGGGGTCCCCAAGTGCCACGCCTGCTATATCGTGGTGGGCAGTGGCCCACCAACAGAGGAAAGTGCAAACCGCCTGAGACATCCCCACGCTCTGGGCGCGAACGGGCGAGCGTTTTCACCCCCTGGCGGCTACCCCACTGGGGTGCCGAAGTGCCACGCCTGCTATACTGCTGCGAGCACAGCACTGGAACAGCAGAAAAGTCTGAGTCAGGCAGAGCGTGTCGGAGTGAGAGTGGCTGGATGTGTATGAGCGAACCTGCGTCTGAGGCTAATTCCCTGAATGGATTCGAATGAGTCTGAGTGAGTCTGAGTCCGAATGAGCCTGAGTAAGGATGTGATGTGGCTGAGTCTGGACGATGAGTATGTGATGGACCACGTGAAGAAGAGTGGGTCTGTGATGGACCCCGTGATGGGTGTGAGTGGCCCGAGTCTGAGTCTGTATCTGAGTGATATGGGAGTGAAGAAGAAGAGGAGAAGACGAAGGAATGAGGTCCGGAGACGTCTTACTAATAACAAGAGGCCCATCTTACGCCATGGGGAATCAAAGCGGAGTTGTTTCGCCAGTGTCGATCTCTGGGGGCCATCGCCGGGCCCCGGGACCAACAAAAAACAGGTCGGGGCGAGAAGCCCGCCCAGCAGGGAGAGGCGGCGAGATTCTTCCCCGGGACCCCACATGGACAAACATCCAGATGCCCGATCTCTGGGGAACGGGCGCGTGGCACCTCGAGGCTCGAAACGCCCCCGCACCGCCCGGAAGCCACAGCACACACACACAGGCGGCGGCTGGGCCCACACCTGCTCCATCGGCGACGACAGCCAAGCGACCACATCCTCGAGGAGCGGGCACCGCGTGTCGCCACGGCGAGGCGCTGCGCCGCAGCGTGAGGCGGGGGAGCGGAGGGGGCCCGCCGAACGGCGACTGGAGTCACACTGCGAGAGGGGCGGGTGACACGCTCCGAGGGCCGAGGGCTGCAGGTGCACACGGCCACGACCTGACCCAACTCTCGCCGGGGCCGGCCGCGTCCAGCGCCTCCGGCTTCCCGGCACACACCGCCGCAACCGGCCGACCCTGAGGACGCCCCCCTGACATCCTCAAGCAGTCCTCGGACGTGATTTGTCCACTCCGCGGACCCGGGGCTGCCAACCACTTCCTGGGGGGGGCGTGCGCCCCAGACACCTTTTTGGCAGTCCCGGGGCCCGATAAAAGGCTACAGAGACTTCAAAAAACTAGGGGCGTCGGAGATCTAGGTCCGCTCGGGGGAGTAGTTTCACTTCAGGTAGCCCCCCAAGCTTGCGCTGGCTTCCCCGGGCGATGCTTCCCTCGATTTACTTCTGCAGGCTTCCGCGGACCTCTCTGCCGAGGGAGAGGTCTCAATCTGCTGCCCCATGAGCAAGGGGGCCCCATTTGAAACAGCTCAAATCGCGCGAGCATCAGTTGGCATAGCATATCAAAAGCAATCGAGTGGCCCTGAGCGCCAGAACAGATGGCCTGATTGAGCTGTTGTCCGTATGAGACCAAGAGCAAGCGGCCCGTTCCCAAAGGCAAGCCCTCCTTGGAGGCCAACCTGGTGTTCGTCAGAACCTTAGAAGTGCTGGTAGCGCTCTGCACGCCTGGAATGCAAATCTGTACACTGCGCTTGCACACATCGCGCACACGGGGCCGAGGCTAGGGAGTAAGGCCACGCATAACAAAACAACAAACAAAACGAATGGCAAGTCTGCGCCAGAAGACTCGGGCTGGCCACCGACGGCACGACTGCGGGCCGGCGATGCAGCGGCCAGTGGCCAGCGATACAAGTTCACAGCACGTTGCATCAAGGTGGATCCCAGAAGAAGCCAAACGCACACGTCATCCAAAGTCACGCGGGTGGCTGAGGGATCAACACGTCGAGGGGGGATAGATAGGAGGATTGGTGAAGGAGGGTGGGAGCGGGGGGGGGGAAGACGTCCGCGACGCTGGGCTGAAAGAAATCAATCCCGAGCGAAAAACCGGCCTTGGAACCCGGGGCCCTTCCCAAGGGCCGGCTCCTCAACCTGGGCCGTTTCCTGACTGTCCAGCCCAAGTAGGGCCTCGCGAGCCAAAGAACGGAGAGAGACCTCCAGGGCGGGTGTCCTCCAGGACAACCGTCCCTGAGATCCGACGCCGCGTGCAAAATGTAACACGAGGGCAGCATCGCGACCAGTGCCCGAAAGACCCCTTCTCTCGGCGGCACTTCTCGAGCTGGATCGATCTGCGATGGCACCGGGGCCGTTACTCTGGACAAGAACGCCCGCTGCGAAACAAAGATTACGACGCTGGGGCCTCAGTGACCAAACCTAGCGGTCGACCTGTCCGCTTTTGTCCTCTTGCATCTGCATGACCATGTCAAGCTTCGCTCCACACCTCGCCTCGTGTGGCCGCAGCCGCTTAACGGCGAATCGCATCTTATTTGAACAAGTCCCGAAGCCTGCAGCGCACCCAAAGATCCGACCCCTTGATCTTCTCAATGCAGGGTCCCCGAACATCCCGACCATTACCCCGGGGCCCGCTTTTCATGACAAGACGTTCTTTGACGGTCCTGGAGCTCGGCGAAAGCCACCAGATGCCTAAAAATGGCACAACACCTCCGTCCTGTTTTTTTCAATACATTGGAGGTCTGGCGTTCAGTCACAGCGACGCAGAGGGGCGACCACGGCTAGCGGCAGCGCCCAGCGCCGCTTGGCCTTCAGCTGCACGCGCGCACCGCGCCCCCCCGAAAAGGGCCCCAAGACATCGCAAGAGGCCCTCAAGACGTCCCAAGAAGGCTTCAAGAGGACGCCCAAGAGGCCCTCGAGAAGCAAAACGCGTTGCCTCCCCATGTCTGTGAACGATTCTAACATACCTAGCCCTTTCGGCCTTCTGAAGGCCCAAGACGGCCCAACGGGTTCCCCCGAGGGCTCCAAGACAGCCCAAAATAACGACGATCGAGGATCGAGGCGGATTGAGGCGGATCGAGGTGGATCGAGGAGGATCAGGGATCGAGGCCGACCGAGGATCGAGGCGGATCGAGAAGGATCGAGAAGGATCGAGGCGGATCGAGCATCGATGAAGGGGCTCAGGGACACACACACACACAAATGATACACACACAAATCCCAGGATTTCCCATCCTTCCTCATACCTCCTTGGGTTTTGTCTTTCCCCCCCCCCCCTTCCCATGCTTTCCCAAGTCTTCCTGGGCATACCGACGACGATGTGTGTCTGTGTGTCTTGAGCAGGGGCCGACCGTCCCGGCATTCCTATAGTCCTACCACGACGCGTTCTTAGAGCCCAAAAAC